ATATATATATATATATATATATATATATATATATATATATATATATATATATATATATACAGGGTGATTCACACTCTCCTCCGGGCATTTTGTGGGGACGTAGAATGGGTTGATGTGAACATAAATGTCCTATACCGTTTTGCGAAATTCGCAATAATAGTCGAGATATTAATTAAAAAAGATTAAGGAAAAATGTACGCTGAATGGTAGAGGACGGACCGCTCGAGTCACAGCGCGGCCCAATAATATAGCGTGCGGATGTCGCGCGCGGTGATTGGAAGACAATGCACCACTGCCTATACTTATACCGCTGCGCTCCTACGTCTTGCCGCACCGCGCCGAGATAAGAATAGGCAGTGGTGCATTGTCTTTCAATTAGCGCTCGCGACATCCACGCGCTTTATTACTAGGCCGCGCTGTGACTCGATCGGTCCGTCCTCTACTATTCAGGGTGCGTCTTTCCTTAATCTTTTTTAATTAATATTTCGACTATTATTGTGAATATCGCAAAACGGTATAGGACTTTTATGTTCACATCAACCCTTTCTACGTCCCCATAAAATGCCCGGAGGAGAGTGTGAGGCACCCTGTAAATATACAGGGTGGCCATTTTATTCAATACACGCAAAACTCTCAAAAAAGAGAAATTTTTTCAAAAAATATTTTAGACAAATGTTGTCGGGTTCAGAAGGGAACATCTGAAGATAACCGTGACTTTGATCTTGGAGCTCATTCTGAAGGTTATTCGAAAGTCAACTTTGCATTTTAACTATAAATATTAATTTTTTCTTACGGAATTTTATTCTTCGTGAATAAACTAACAACTTTTGTTTGAACCAATTTTTCGCACAACCATCATTTTCTTAGATATTTACGGAAATAAAAACAAAATTATTGGTTTTAGTAATTTTTCACTCGAATTCTATCAGCTTTTCCGAAAAATAGCAATAAATAAAAATTGTTTATTTTCTTCTTATAAAGCTCTGAGATTGTTTTCAGAATTTTTTATAAACTTCTTATTACTTCAAAACAAGTAAATACAGTACTGAGAAGTTAATTAAAAAATTCTGAAAAAAATTCTGAAAGCTCTATGAGGAAAAAATAAACAATTTTTATCTCGCTATTTTTCGGTAAAGTTGATAGAATTCGAGTAAAAAATTATTGAAATCAATAATTTTGTAGATATTTCCGTAAATATCTTAGAAAATAGGAGTCGTATAAAAAATTTTTTCAAACAAAAGTTGTTCGCATCTTTACGTAAAATAAAATTCTGTAAATATATGTTTCTATTTAAAATGTTTCTACTTAAATATGTTTCTATTTAAAAATTCTTCTGAAGAATATATATTTCTATTTAAAAAGCAAAGTTAACCTCCGAATAACTTCCAAAATGATTTCCAAGGTCAAAGTCAAGGTCACTTTCAGATGTCGCCCACTGAACGCGACAACTTTTGTTTAAAACATTTTTACTGAATATACTTGAGTGAAGAATTATGAGGGTACATTTTTGAAAATGGCACACCCTGTATATATATCCCTGTGTATATATCCTATATATTAGGTGAAGTAAAAAGTTTTGAGCGTTTTCCGCTAGATGTCTTTAGTGAGCCATATCTCACGATGTATACATCGCATCGGGTCATACTATACGGCGATTTAAAGGTGACATTACGCTTCAAAAAAAGTTCTGTGACAGTTTTGTGTTTGGTCAAGCCAGTTGTGTGTTACAGCGTTCCAAAATGGAGGTAAAAAAAGAGAAAATTCGATACATTCTTCAGTACCACTACGACCAAGGTGAAAAGGCGGAGCAGGCGGCCAAAAAAATTTGTGCTGTTTATGGACCCAATACAGTATCGAATGCAACAGCAAAGC